TTACATGCAATAGTTATTTTTAACAAAAATTTGGCCATTTTTATAAGCTTATTTATTATTATTAATATATTATCGTACCGGGTTTCCGTTAAAAGCTTTTTCGATTTCGAAAGTTTAATGACGAAATTTATAATAATTTTTTATTATGTTTTATTAAAAGCTAATAACGGTTGGAGTAATTTATAAAACTTATATTTATTAGCTTTATTTTTTGCGCAATTTTCGCAATTTTTAATAATTTTATGGATTATAATTCGGGTATTTATATATTTATAATATTATTTAAATTTTTTCCAAATTTTAATAACACCGAAATATTTTTACGCTAATAATTTATATATTTTTTAAATTTTTTTAAAAGTTTAACCCTTTTATTCGGGGGTAATTTTTATAATAGCTTTTTAAACGGGGATTAACGACCCGTTAAGCCTTTTTGCTAAAACGGTATGCGTCGTTTCTGGAGTATTAATTTCGTAATCCGATCGGCGGCTAAACGCGTCGGTTCGGCCGTTTTCCGATCCTTTCCGATATTCTATTCGAATATCGTAATTTTGAAATATTTCGCTCTAACGGATTTAACGTTTATTTAATTTTTTATTTATGGTAAAATTGGTGAAATTTTTATAATCCGTGTAAATTACGATTTAATGATTCGCACCAAATAAATAATATCGTTATTTTTTTAAAACTCGAATAATAACGAAAAATTTTTTATCGTGGATTTAATATTTTAATTTTGGGCCGTTTAATTTTTATAAAAAAAAAACGCATAAATGTAACTTTTTTTATTAATTTCGTTGCTTAAATTAACCCCCAATCGCGTAATCCGACGCGTTAATTTTTATTTCGAAAAGTTTATCCATATTTAGCATTGCTAATACTGGCTTTTATATTATTATATCTCGCAGTTGCTCGAAAATTTTTTATTTTTATTTTTTTTAATAAAACTGAATATCGTTTTTAGTAAAATTCGTAAATAGTAAAACTTTTTTATTAAAATCCCGGATAAACCTTTTATAAAAATTCAAAAACCCCAAAAAGCCCCGTATTTTTTTAATAATGCTAAATTTGGGCCAATCCAAAACTGCTTAAACCTTTTTCGGATCCATCCGTATTTTACCGGGTATAATAATATATTTTAAAAATACCATTTCCTAAATGTGCCATACATATTTATTTGGATTTATTAAAAATTTGACGTTTTGCAACTTTTATAAAACCCAATGCACGTGCTTCGTGTATTTTTTTATAATTTTTAAAAAAATTAATAAATCGTTAAAATAAATTAGGATAAAAATGTTTAATTTTTCGCGCAATATATAATTAGTTATTTTTGGGAATGTTACGGGGGTATTAATAAAACCGAATATTATTATTAACGATTTGAAAACGTTTTTGTTAGTTTTAAAAGCTATTTTTTATTCGTCCCTTTTTTTAATTCGTATTAAGCTGTATATTTTACGTAAATTTAAAACCGTGAAATATTTGGTTTTTAAAAATTTATTTCGCAATTTTTTTATAAAAAGTAAAAAATACCGATTTTTTATTATTTTTTTATTCACCGGTTTATAATCGATATATATCTTTTCGGTTTTATCCTTTTTAAAAATAAATAGGGTTTTATATATTATCGGCGAAATAAACGTTTAAAAAAACCCTTTTTTTAAATCCTTTTTTATTTATTCGTTTAGCAACCGTTATTATTTGGGGTTTTAAAAGTACAATTTTTAATAATTAAGTTTCGTTCCTGATTTAAGCTTAATTTCGTGGTCGAACGGCCCATATTTTGGTAATATCGTTTCCAAATTTTTCTAAAATAATCTCCAATATTTATAATATTTTTTAGGTACGTTTGCTAATGTTTTTATTATTTAGGTAAAATTTAAATCTTTTTATAATTCGTTTAATATTTTTTATTAAGGTTAATTGCCAGGTTTTATCGCTGTTGCGATTATTTTTTCTCGCGTTTAATTTCCACCGTTCGGGGTTTATAATTGTTAAATTTTTTCGGGTATTAATGGTTTATCCCAATAAACCTTTTTTATTATCCAATTTATTTTAAAATTATATTTTTTAAATTAAAAAATTTCAAAAATGATATCCTTTTCTTTTAATTTAATAATATCCAGTATAATTTCGAATTTTAATTTATAAATTCGAAATTTAAAATGATTAATTTTTATATCGATTTATCCGTTATTATATTCGACCAAATTTTTTTCCACGATCCGTAATTTATAAAACCGCCGTTTTTTTCAAATAAATATTTCGAACCTTATTATCGCTCATAATGCAACAAAATTCCCGTAAGCTTCGTTATTGATAATAATTCACAAATTATATTTTTCTCATTTTATTAATATATAAACCCCTAAATTTGGATCGTAAAAAATTTTTGGTCCTAATTTGTAAATTATTATTATTAAAACCTTTTTTTTCGGTTATTATCCTATTTATACTTTTATTACGGACGGACTTTTTAATTTTTTATTTCGGGCTCGTTTTTTTTTGCGCAATAATAATGCTTTAAAATGCACAAAAAGTTTTTTCCGAGCCCCGGGGGGTGGGCGTAATTTTATATCCGTATTTCCCTTTTTTCGCTTTTTAAAGCCTTATTTTTCGGCTTATACGGTATTTATAACATTAAAACGTAACCCGTTTACCAAACTTTTATTTTAATATTAACATATATTTTACACGCTAATAATCGGCATTTGTACCATTTTAATACCCTTAATACACATAATATCGGATAATTAAAATTTAGTGCGAAAATAGTAAAAAATCGGTTTTTAAAAGCTATTTTCCATTTAAATAATTGTTAAATCAATTATAATTTCGTACGAGCCTAATCGTTTAATCGTTGAAAAAAAAAATCGTTTTTTAACTTTTTTTTTATATGCATAACGCAATTAATCCAAATATATTCAGCCCAAAATAACCATTAATATTTTTGGTTATCCAAATATAAATTAGGGTAATTTTTTAAATGCCCCGTTTAGTTTTTTTTTTATAATATTTATTATTTTTCGGATTTGTTTAATTTTGGGTATTTAACGCTTTAATTATTATAAAATTATAATAATGGTCGGTTATAATCGTTTTCGGCCGGCGTAATTTTATAAATTAATTAATTTAGCTTTTTTGGCAAAATTATATACTAAAATGTTTGGATTATTTCGGACCGCGTCCAAAATAATTCTTTTACAGGAACCCAATTTTTTTATCCTATTAAATTGGCGCGATTTTAACGGTTCTTTTACCACCGGTTATTAATTGTTAAATTTCCGTTATTTCCCGGATAAAATGTGTTTATTCCAAAAATTTTTATTCCATTTTTACGTTAATATTAAAATTTATAACCGATACGTTTAACACTTTTAATTTAATCGTTAAAATTTGTAATTTTCGGAGCTTAATTAGCGTATCCTTTAAAATT